TGGCTTATTGCAGCAGTATTTGCAGTATACCCTGTCATTTTTCCTCTCTTGCTTTTGTTTCCCATTTACAAATACCGCGAGTCTGGCACTAATAAAGAAATTGCTTTTGGTTTTAAAGTGTTCTTTGAAAATTATAAAGAGAAATATTGGTACTGGGAGATAGTTGAGATGTACCGCAAACTGACCCTCATTTCAGTCGTCCTGTTGTTTGGTTCCGAAAGCCATTCTCAAATTGGCTTTGCCGTAGTTGCAGCAAGTGCATCAGGAATTGCATACACTCTAGCCCGACCCATAAAAGGCAAATTTGAAGATGGACTTCAAACCTTTGTGCTTTGGATAATATTCTTCAATGTTTGCCTCGGTGCACTTTATTCTCAGCCCACCATGAGGGAGAGTCAAGGAGGAAACAATTCCATTTTTGTGAATGTGGCGTTCGTAATTCTGAACAGCGCGGTGTTGTTCACAGCCTTGGGTAAGGTTTTACTTTTAACAGCCCTTAACTCTTTATTCATTTTCTCCGTAATAATTGTTTCATTTTGAACGAATAATCGGGTTTTAACCTGCATATCGCAGGCCAAAGGTGTGATCGGAAGATTTTTTTCTTTTATATTTATCACTATTTTTTTATCTTCTTAACGACACCTGTATGTTCACTAGCATAGCAACGTCAAATTTCAGTTCAGTCACCTCTAACAGCTCTTTTAATTTTTCCCCGTTTGATTTCTTGATTATAACAGCTAGGTACTTGTATAATCATATTCGTACGTCATGTAGTACCTTTTAAACAGAAAAAAGAAAACCTTAACACCATAGAAAGCTGACTAAGAGATTATCCGTCATTATTACTATAACTTTTTCCAATATATTTCTATTTTAACAGTTAAAGGCATCGTCCATCTGATGTCTGCATGGAGAAATATTTCCCTCTGCCCAGTGCGATGCTTGTGCATGGTATGTGATAGATTCCTTGGATGTCAACGGAGCAGACGGAATAATGTAATCCTCACCCAACCGCTGACAGAGGAACGATTCTAAGTTACTAATGATTAAACACTTCAGCTGTTACTGCTACGTCGTAACATTTTGTAAAGATAAACGTATTCACTGATTCCTTGTTTTTAGTTTTTAATCCTCCAGGGATAGCTTAACTTTACCAGTTAAAAAACTTCATAAAGTATTATTAGCGCGCTTCAAAATTAATCTCTATGTATATTACCTTTACCTTTCCTCCCTCCATTGAATAGGAAACTCGTTTGTTGCTGTATATTCAATTTAGGAACAGGTCTGAAAACTACTCAAGAGAGAACTTTAGGCTACCAGGATCACGCTTGTGCTTAATGGGAACCGAGGAATTGTTTCTGTAGTACAAAAATGGATACCAACTCAGGTATCCTAGAAACCTGTTAGAAGGCGTTTGCCATACAACCAGTCTCTTAAAGGCTTCCTTCAACAACTGCTTAAGAATCTGAAAGTCAAGTAGAATAAACTATTGATTTCTGTAACCATCTGTATTCAGTCATTAGAATCAATGAAGCCTTTGATAGCACATTATTTAGTCATAATTTTATCCATACAATTTACAATAATGCAAAGTTTCATGACCAAAGATTTAAATTTGCAGGATGTTTTAAAATGCTTTCGCAACTGGCGTAATCATATCCAAAGACCCTAAGATTGGCTCATGTTACTAAGTACTGACTTCATGCATAACAGAGCGTCATCCTGTATATTCCTATCTTAGCAAAAATAAAGCGACCCTGGATATTTCTAAAAACAAGTTTTCTTTCCAACAGTGCCCCTATCCATATTACGTTGATTTATTTGACGGCTTTTTTGGAAAAAAAAAAGTGTACATAGAGGCATGGTATATAGAATTCAACTAACACCTCACCGCACAAGGGACGTCAATAACGTCGAAGATTTTAGACCACTTCTTTACTTTTTAGTTCTCGGTGATGAATAATAGCCACTTCGATGATGGACTATTATCATGAAAATTATTCGATGGCTATATTCTTAATTGGATCCAGAGTCCAAGACAGAACCGGAATCTTTGCTCGCATTTTGGTTTGCTTAAAGGCATTTTGGCGGGCTCAATGTTCGACTGTATCCACAGTCCACTTAAAAATCCATTAAATGTCTCCTTTACACGCTGCAGCTGCTCTCTTATAATTAATAGTTTCCTCTAACGCAGTCAATGGACTTAGTTCTCTGCTTTGTACGATAAGAACTTCGTGTACGTCACACGCGATACGAAGACCTAAGAATTGTCAAATTTGCAAAACACAAAGCAATCAGCCGAATAAGAAAAAGAACTCTCCTTGTGATCTCCTTCCGATTTAAAATGCTTAGAATATTTCCGAAACCTCAGTACATATTTTAGAAGTTTCACTTGCTCAATAGTTCGAAGGCAATCTCAAATAATGCAAAATTTCCTTTTCATATATTGCGCGGATTCTCGTGTATAGACGTAGAAACTTAACGAAGACCATCGAATCAAGCAGGAACAAATGACTAGTTCATCGTCGTGTTTACAAGTTAAACTTGTGACAGCCGGCGACGAGTGAGTGTGATATTCCAAGGATTTTCTGAGACTCCTGAGAGACGCTCTCCTTGGACTTGGCTCTTTCTCTCAACGCCTCCATTGTCATAGTATATTAGTACTTTGTTTATTGTAAGTGGAATGTATAATGTTGATAGACATTTGAAATGTTCTTGGCCGGGTATTTACCTATTCCGTTTAAATGGGGGTTACAAAACCGTGCAGGGTCTGAGCAGAAATTATCCGGTTTTGCTTCCTTGATGCGGCTGTCTATCTCACAGATCTGTTTTTTCTGTTGAAATTATAGCTCTGACAGATAATTTCCCTTTCGCATAAAATACCATAGATATAAGAGCTCCTGCTGACATTCTCTTAAAAACGAAACCTTTGAGAGCCATGCCACGAATGTTTTTTTTTTAATTCCTAGAATGCATTGATCCTCAGAGGCTACAAGGTTGGTGAACGAAACACGTACAAGAAAAAAAAAATATTCATCGATAGGTCTGGGTATCACGCCATCAATTAACATATTTAGCCTGACTAAGAACAGGGGATAGTAAGACCAACAGTCATTATTACCCTACCTAGCCTCCTCCCCCTCACCCCTTCTTCTGCATTGCTCTATGTCGATGGGTGTACTCTTCTCAGTGTTTCTAGCGTCAGTAGTTCGCCCAATTCAAAACTACTCGCTGTGAAATCATCTAATAAACAGAGTGTGAGGGAACTATCTATAGGAGGGCCTAACTCGCTATACAATACGGTTAAACACCTTTAGGTTGAAACAAAATTTAATTAAAACTTCCTTTTGTCACTATATTGCCATTTTGATTTCGCCAACTATGCAAGCTGTGAACTAGTTATGATTCTAGTAAGACAAGAAAGTTTTGTGTATATCATAGTAAAGGATAAGGACTTAGAGGGGGAGGGTAGTTGTCAAAAGCCTTGCAGGGCTCAATTTAAGATTAGAACAAAAGGTGCAGGTAAGGGGGTGGTCAGTTTTTAAATTATTAGGATAGTGCAAAGTTTTTAGGCTTAGAAACACTACTGAAAAGTGACAAAAGACCGGACTGCATTAAATACCCTGAAAACTGGATGTGAAATGATTTGATTTGATTTGTGATTTACTCCATTTCACTGCATTAATTTGCAATGGGGAAGGAGTAGAGAGGAATATACGAACCATTCGTCCTGGTCCACCTTCCCACCCATCCCAGCCCAGGGGACGACATCCGTCACACAGTAATCTCGTGTGTGGGAAATTAACGTCTCCTACCCCAATCCTGCAGGACACGGGACCTCCATTTATTCGTCCCTATCCGAGAAGACTAGAATATCTAACCATTTCTTGATGTTATAGAAAGGTAGCAAATTCTTCTCAATTATTTTAAGACCTTGAGTGTTGTTGCGGCCAAGGCTCGAACCATCGACCTCCAGCACAACAGTCCAGCGCACTATCCATTGGGCTAACTGAGCGGCTGAATTGTTCAGTCCAATAAAAATACGTTGTTCATCACATATCAGTAGGAGTACGCCTGAGTGTAAAATTTCGTTAATAATTACTGCATGGACCTTCCACATTAAGGTCATATTTCACATATCGGTTATATCATCTTTGATATCCAACTCGATCGTAAACTTACGATATGGCAGTTAATGCTGTTTTTTTTTTAAGCTTCCGTAAGGTTTGATCATGATGGAATTGATTTGGAAACGGCATCTGAGTGTCACAGAAACCGCATTCCTATTAATGATGTAAATACCGTACTGGCGCTGAAAAAGCACCTTATTTTGCACCTTGGTCTAAAAGAGTTATCCAGTAAATTTGGCCTCAGCGGTTTTGATGTGAAACTTTATCACAGGAATCCGAAATCAGGAGGGAAGAGCGACAGTTTTGCCTTAACTACGGACGAGCAGTGAGATCTGGAACTTCCGACCATGCTGGCTGGATAGAGAAACGGTTTTTCACATCAGCCTACATATGTTTACCTTACTCAAATGTTTATCACACATGAAAATAAAGCGAGAAACTCGCCCGTCTCCACCCTCCATCGTGTACATCATTAAAGGAGGTGGCCAAATCAGCTTTAGAGTTTTATTTTAATTCAAAAACTGAAAAAAAAAATACATCGCTGGTTAACCTTCAGTTCGATCGTGTCAAGTCTCGAAGTTCCGTTCTTTCAAATATGAGCCTATCCTAGGGCTGACAAGTGATGTTTAAACGCTTACCTTAACACTTTGAGTCCTAGCCACACATATTTGCGTGGAAAGTAGCGTCACTACTGTTGTTATTTGTTTCTTGTTTAAATTAAAAGACAACACTATCTAAGTGTGTACATTGCACCGGCTGCATGATGTGACACCTATTGCAGCCTAAACCGCCAACAATGATTCCCGATTTCCATTGCAGTGAACCGTTCATATGGCAACAAATCCCAACAATCAAGCATTTTGCTCCAAGAGCAACAGTGAAAAAGTGTCCGTCTTTTAAGATGAAAACTTGCTCAAGAAGTCAGAAATTTCCTTCAAAACACACCTCAGGGCCCGATGTTGGTGATTGGCTGGACAATTCTTTCTCACTTTATCCGCTAGCCCTTGTTCCTCCATTTTAATGCAGCCTAGTGTCGCGAACACAACCTTTGCCTAGTTCATACCCGAAAGGAATTCTGGGAAATTTCACTATAACTCGAGAAGGGAACTCTTAACATTTCCATTTAAAAAAAAAATATATTAGAATCGTGTCGGGCCACCCAGTCCTACCATCAAAATATCACATCCATTGAAATCTTTACCAGTCAAAACTTGCCCAAAAAGCCTTGGTAGGTCCTGGTAGCCATCCATAGCCACCCTGTATCCCAGCTGTCGAAATTTTCTACCCCACGATATTTTTCAAAGCCATCTTAAAGAGACACCGTCATGTTTTTGCTAATAGAGTGTCTGACTTACCTGGTCAAGCTGAAAGTCAAGTTTCCGGAATTAAGCTTAGCAGTTTCCCCGTAGGTTAGCCTAATCTTGTTTTAAGATCCATATCATTAAAAACGCCCTGAAAAGAACCCCTGACTGCTGAAAGCTAGTTATGAAAGTTTCTTACCAGTTGTACCTAGCTTTGTAGAGTGATTCCTGCTTGAAATGTTGTTAATTTAATACAGGTTAATCATCAAGATCGGTTTGTAATGTTATCATTGTATGGTCACTTTTAACAGAGATGACTATGGTCAACGCCAGCAAGTAACGCGAACTACACAACGAACACCCTTTACTCATACACGGCAAAACAAGATGGAAGATACACAATAGAGAGAAAACAGTCAGGCGTCACTGATATGAGCGCGCGTATAAAACTAAACAAACACCGCAGGACAACCTGCTGGCGCAACGTCTTTTTCGTTCCTTAACGAAAACGAACTATAATAACAACGTCTCAGGGATTCTGCAAAAGTATTGTTACGTGCTTGAATGACCAACAAATGTCCGCTGACAAAGCATATATGAAAATGGACTCCCGAGTACGATATATGGCACGCAACAAAAATGTAACAACAAGCAGTTACCCATTTTAACTATTATTTAATTAGTTTTATATTGTCTAATTTACTTAGGTTAGAGATTAAGTTAAGCAGTTCATAAAGCAGGCTTACAATCCTTCATGCCGTG